GCTATTGGCACAATTATAGGCCACATCAGAGTCATCAGATGGACGCTAGTTTAAGACCATTTACCGCGCCCAGCCTTAAAGGGCGGTGATCGTCAGGTCGCGCCCTGTTCTTTATGGGACTCACGGTGACGTACACAACGCGTGTAAACTTGAAATACATTGTTTGTAAATTTCGAACACACGCTTCACAACGACCAACGCCCTTTACCACGTGTTTACTCATTTGGTGCAAACGTATAGAAACATAGATATGAATACGAACAAAATCCAACTTATGTTTTTTTAATTAATAAGTCTTTTTTTCAGAATGTTTTAGCATTGAATTCAGCCGGAACTCGCCAACAGGCTGCATGGTTAATAAAATTGATTTTAGGACACATTTATAGAATTAATGATCATTTATACTCAAACAAAAATTAGGATGCTGTTTTTTGAACACAAATATTTGAAATTCTATACATTTTTTGTTACGTGGTACCCCTTCCCTACGTTTGTTGTTACATACATAGCGAAATCAATGTTAAAATGAAAATATTGAAATAGTATAAATAATAAGACAACATACAAATGACCGAGCTTCCACAAAATTGTATTAGTTTTACCATTGTTATTTCACCACCAGTACATTTCTGGTCACCATGACGACGTGTTTGTTAAGTTACTAAAATACTGACATGTCTGACCTATACAGATCAGAACGTACTGTTTATGTTTATATCTTTCACAATGAATTCTGTATTGTATACTACTACATTTTGAAGTTCAAGTGACCGACATAATGCCATGCTCATATTTATAGACTACCTCCGATTTAAAGTCTTACATTCACGAGGTTTCTTACACACTTCGACTCCAAGATTAGTTGACTTCATGGTCTCTCCGTAATCAGAAATGTGTACTATATTTCCACGTGACGACGATGGACAACTGGATAGTAATTATACCAAAATGGCCACTTACTGTTGTCAGAATACATATTTTATTATTATGGAAACATTCGGCATTCTTGAACTCAGTGTAAAAAAGGAAGTGGTTAAAAAATGGGCGTGGCAGGATGTAAGATCGGCTATTCACTGTTTCCACGGTGAGACACTTGTCCGATATCACGATCTAAAGAAGTGGCAAGGTCGTTGTACTGTTATTTTCAAATAAATGTTCACAAATAAAAATACAATTAAAGAGTTGTATTGGTAATTATATATTAATTCATCGTTTTTTATTTTTATTTTGATTAGTGTATCAATTGCCCACACTGCGTTGCAAACTCATATAGTGAAACTGTTTTCTTTTTGAGAAATAGAAAATATTTGACATATATTTACTGCATTTTCATCCTTCTTTGTTCGTGGTCCCGCGCAATCTGCTCCCAGCTAATGGCCCTTTCATTGTCAAGTGAGTTGAATTTAAAATATAGAAACAACAGTATATTCGCTCGATTTTATTTTCACTAAATCATTCCTTCGGCGAAAATAGCAAAAATTAATTCCAAGCGAATATAAAGTATTCTACAGTATCAAGACGAGATACGCCCTCTGACGACGAGTATGAATGTCTTGTTTAGCACTTCTCAGTCCTGTTAATTTTTTACCTGTTTGATACATATCCGGGTGAAAGGTGAATTGTTCGTCTGACAAATCATTAAACTGCAACATTGTGTGATACCTCAGTTATCATAGCAAAACACTCAGCGTATTCTTCCGTGATGCCATCATATTCGACTAACTGGTGAGTGTTACCTATGTCTGTTCATGCTCCATTTGAATAAGATTAAATAATTTGAAACTATTATGATGATTATTAATTCCGCAATATCGTCGTGTAAATCCGACAACATAATGATACATAATGAAAGAAAAAAACAACACTGTCCTCGCCCGCCTATCGTCCGCAGATAATGAACGTCAACGTCGATAAAATGTAACGCATTGCGAAACGTTATAATGCTGGCAACTAAACAGCATGGCGACAGTGTTTACGGGAGACTGAATGTTATATGAATATTATAATTAAATTTAATAGTTATATGTTATTTATATCGATTCACTAGTAACACGTAAAGTCGATTGATATAAGCATGTGACCGCTATAAAGTAAGCACAGGTGAATGAGATACTGATATCGGTATTACGAAATGTGACTCCCGGTGTTTTCTCACATACATTATGTTTCTATGCAGGATGCGTTGCATAGCGTAATGAGCGTCGCTGGAAATTAACGTCTTAGTGCTCACCAGCGTTATTTAAACGTGACAAGTTTTCAACACGGAAGAGTGTTGATCCATCGAATATCCCCAACAAAATCCACAGCAGGAACACTCCTAAAATGGAGGGGAACAGTAACATTATTGGACTTCGTCCGAATTTTAAACATAGAGTGGTTTTTGGATTAACGACAAGCCAGGTCATCGCTGCATCTTTGAGTATTGTCCTAGGAGTCCTAGCCATCATTGAGAACTGTGTTACTGCTGCGATCGGTGCACCAGTATGGGGCGGCATATTTGTGAGTCGATGCCATCGTAACCATTAATCATTTTTCATCTACTCTTCATTGTCATCACCATAGAAACGTACAACGCCACGAGGATCATGGGAAATATAGTTTATGTTGTGTGTAGCACGAGCACAATCTTCATGTTTCATTATTTAATATTTTCATCGTGGATATATATTTAACATGAACAGTCTGTTTTATCATAAATTTACCTAACGCTTACTAAAATATTGTTTACAACAATATTTCTAAAAATGCAACTCTGTTAATGCTCCACGCTTTTCAGATTTATATACTGCTAATACGTGTACCTTCACAACTACACTGCCCATATATGCGGGTTCATCGCTTTGTTTTCGGTTTCTCGGCGTCATCCCTTTTTGCTGAAAACGACTCGGAACTATAGTACAACATAGTACACGGATGTGTTTTCCCGGGAAGGGGTGTATATTCGACTAAACGCTTTTCACATATTACACACACATACATACATCGTATGATTAATATTGAATTTACTTTGCTAGTTTCTTGTGGCAGGTATTCAAGGCATTATAGCAGCACGAAGAAAAAATACAATTACGGTGAGCGGTTGTATTAATAACTTCTGTAAAAAACGAAAGAAAAAAAAACACATGAAAATTGGAACTAATATCCAAGTTTTTCATCAATCTGTTATTTTTATAATAATTTTGTTTCATTTCAGGTTTTCGCTACATTAATACTATGCATAATTGCTGCTTTGTTTTCACTGATTGTCATCGTAAGTTCGGTCACCTCATTGGTTAACGATAATACATGCGGTGATTACGGCACATATTCATACTGTTTCCAGGTAACTCTTTTTTAAATCAATATTTTTTTAATTTACGCAGCATTTATTTGATTATTAGACATTATCATTTTATAGACACACAGACACGTTTTATTTATACTTGTTTCCTAGAAAGGCTGTCACGTGATTGACTCGATTGTCGTTGCCGTTGCCACGGCAGAATTGGTGCTGACTCTCACAACGACAGTAGTATGCTGGGTCGCAGTTTGTAACTGTAGAGCACGCTCATATGAGGTATGACGTCATATTGTCGTCAAATATATTGAAATACACTGAATAGAAAATTCTCATGTCGGTTTCATACTAAGGGAAATGCACTATAGCGAATTTAGTAAGCATAGGTGATATAAATACGTCGATATCTTTGCTTGACAATAATTCGCTCCAGGCTGTCTAATTTACATGTCACACACACACATTTTAAATATACATACATAATTGTATATATATTTCAATTTGGACTCATAACAACAACAAAAACGGGAAAAAATATTATCAGTCCTAGAAAAAGTCGCACGTCACAATTTATATATGTATAACATCACAGAAATTCAGCTTAAAATATCGGGGAATAAAGTGACACATTTTTATTTTTGTTATTTTGTGTATGTAGTCTGGACGGCCGTATATCATACTTAATAACAGCGAGCCGCAACCGTTACTTTCGGGGGTACCAAACTTACCCGTTGTCACTGGCCCTGATATATCCCACCACCAGAGAAACAGGAACTCTTCAAGAGGTCAGATCACGACAATGACTGCCAATGAGAATTGTGAGTAACAATACAAAATGATACGATACTATATGTACGAGGTTGTTATTTGTCTGTACTAATCTGTCAACGGCATCCTCCTCCTCCTCCTCCTCCTCCTCCTCCTCCTCCTCCTCCTCCTCATCATCATCATCATCATTATCATCATTCTCATCATCATCCTCACCACCACCATCCTCGTCCTTCGCATCATCATTCTCATCAACAACAGCATCAACCAGGCAAACTAAATATATCTTATTGTTTCATTTAAGCTCTTCGTACCCTCACTACATCATCATTCCTGGTGAACAACACACGTGACGTTTTCAATGGCAACCACCGTAGCAGTGCCAATGCAAAACACACAGAAAGGTCAGACGGGGAAACAAAGACCAGTGCGCCAGAGGAACATGTGACACGATCAGCAAGACAGCTGTCAGATGAGAACTTTGAGGACATCAGTTTAAAAAGTCGTGTGAATTCAGAAGATACTAGACTTTGTGAACTTAGTGCGATATCATTACCTGAAAACACAGACTCTACGTGTTGAACATTATACGTATTTATTTGTTTAAATTATGCTCGATGAAAATACGATATTTTTTAATAAGTGAGGCAGAGTTATTTACATTTTGCCAGTGCCAAACATACGTTTCACACTGCCTTATAATACGTTATGTAATATAATATATAATTTTTCTACACGAATATACACATATTAAACTGTCTGTGTGGTATGTGTTACGTGTTGGGCACAATAACATAGATTTAATAACAACACAAATCGTTTCAAAATCCATGGTTTGTAGTTCATGGAAAGGAGTGTTTCAAAAATCGTCCCTGTACTGACGTATCTGTTGCAAACGCCACTTTGTCTTAACTCCGCCACGATATGTATTACGTGGTTAATACACATTTGAACCATGGTAATCAACGAGTTCGTTATAGCCACAGTCACATCGAGTGACATGGTTGCTCCAAATGTATGTATATGTGAAGTAAGTATATTAAGTTGATTATATATTGATAAATTAGGCCGTACCACTCAGCGACACAGGAGATGCTGGTCAAAGGTGATCCGTGATTGTAGTTTACTGCCACAAAGGGTAAGAACACTTATTACCCTAGAGCTGTCTGAAGTAGATTTTAACAAACAGTTGTATCTCTTGATTTCATCTAGATATAATCCTTTCTCATACTGTATTTTGTAATGACAAAAAAAATGATTTTATTATTTATTTGTGTATTATTGATAACAACAACGTACATTATTTAACATTGTAGATTATTTTAAAGGGGAGGGTCGTCACATGCGCACGCACGGGAATTGAGTCCCATGCGACGATAACAACACACGCTGAAAACGCAAAGGCTCGTGGGTGGTCGCTTGTTGGTAAACAATTACACGCTATGGCCACCTGACGCATGCGCTAACATATTCCTTTTAAAACTACTTTTGAACATATAATAACGTATAATATCTTGCTGATTTAACCGCCATTATTGTTTTAGTCAAGATATACTAGTAATTTACATTCTTTACGTCGCCAAAGTCGCCACAGATTTACGCAAACAAACAAACAAACAAATGTTTTTTAACATGAGTTGTATTATATACGACGCGATGTACTCAATAATTTTCACATCTTCTCACATATAACAATTTTACTCTATCAAATTTCTAAAATGTATTTCGTCATATGCTTCTGGATGTGTCCTAGCCATTACTTTGACATACTACATCGGGGAAAGGACAGGAAATACATCATCTCACAACAGGATTACATCATGTGCGTAACAGGAACGGAACACTAAATACATGATTAAACAGATTATATCAGGCTACCAAGGATGTTAAGAATGTGACAGTTTTTTATAGCTACCCATCTTCAGGGTAAATTAAAGTTAACTAGATCAATCATTCAATTAATCAAATTTTGTTTAGATTGTCAACTTAAAATAGATAGCAAAATTTGCGGTAGAGTATTAAACATGTGGTACGAAACCTGCCATATTATTTTTTATTGAGATCGAGTTTGACGAAAAATAAATAGATTTATGGGAAAGGCGGCATTTAAACTGATAACAGTTTAATTTCCTTGGGCATTAAAATTATTTGACACTGTTGTGATTTGTTACGGCAAAAAAAAAAACGATTATCGGGAGTTCAGCTTCAATCTGTAAATAGAGAAAGAACGAATATTACTTCAAATGTTCGGCTTGTTCCGACATAATAAATTATGCCAGCAATGACTAAGTTCCACGAGAGCCCCTCTGTGAAGATGATGAAATATAATTATATATTTACATTGTATTCGTACGTTTGTTGAATAATTAATTTTGTTAATTAAAGACAACTTGCGCACTTTACATAATAAAACCTGTCACATCATTGCACGGATTAAGTCTATGCTTGGCAATCCATGGTTCTATGCACATACTACGTCATGCTGTTAATGTAATCGACATGCTGCTTATATAAACAAGGTTTGGTTGGAAACCAGGGGAGATTGGGACATGTTTAACACAATGCGGTTCACTAATGGGATACAGATAATACTGTATATGCTTGGTACGCACGTACTGTACATGACACTGCGTGAACTTACAACCAACCAACCTAAGGTTATTTGTAAAGAACACATCAGCTTCTGCTTTACATTTGTTATGATTATCTAAAATTATTTTGTCAGTTCATATACGTATTTCTCTTTTCTGGACTATGCCGGCGCTGTTCAGTTTTGCTCTAGTTGTACGTGGATTAAATGGCCTTATGAACGAACGAACAAACAAACATATATCTGTTGGATTTATCAGTCATTGTCATAGAAACGCAGAAGTTATATTTATATTTGTAATATTTTTTTTCGTGATGTAAGTTACTTCAAAATCAATAGTTATGTGATATTGTTGATAACGATGTTGTTGTCATTGTTGTGTTTGACGATGATAACTATGTTGTGATGTCACTGGTTAGTCGGGTGATGAAACATCTAAATATACAAGGAAAGTTTGCATGTTCTGAAAAACATTAAAAAGTGTGTTTAAAATCTTAGTGGGATTGATTATAAACGACCTAATTATCATACTGGGTGAGAATACGCCATTAGATGCAGTGTATGGGTAATCATTCTTAAAATAGAATCAGCGACGCCTAGCAGGTCAGTGTGTTCAAATGTCACTGTCAGTATACGACGAGTTCTAAGTAAACACGGCACAAGGTGGCACCTAGAAATGTACATAGTTACAGGTGTAACATGCTTAATATTATTTATAGAAAAAAATGAGACTAATATGTGCTATATGGTGAACTAATTGTGTAGTATAAAACGACACAATAGTAGAATTACGTGCGAATAATAACGGTAATACTTCTAGTTCATATACAAGCCCGTCCCGTTGATCGGATGTGTACATGACCCCTGACGTAATATCGGTCACTGGCCATCCCGACGCTACCCCTATGACGTCACGTACTACAGTATATAGTTTTGAGCAAATTCAGACATTGTCAGAACAGATTACCTTGCCTATGATACAAGTTACTGCCAAAGAGTTCCAAAGAAGTCTGCAGTTCTATCGGGTATTTTATAATTTACTTACTGTCGCGTGCTCTTTCAGTTAACACGTGTCAATTGGACTTCAGTCATTCAAACATCCAGTAGTGGCAGTATTAAAACAAGTAGCTTGACAGTGTACACATTTCGTTGCAGATTATTTCATTCAAACGAATTTATCGTTACAATTGGAAATATTTGAGTTCTTCGTTGGAAGTATATATTCATTATCAAAACAACACTTTGCCGATATACAGTTAAGTATGGTGAGTATTCTCAATGTCATATCTGTAGAAATGTACTCCACGTTTTTATTATTGATACATTTATGCATGTACTTCTATACACCTATACCGAGCTGAATGTGTTGCATTATTTGTCAGCATCACAATAAGCGTGCTTTGTTTTGTCTTACAGCCTATGGACACACGTGCATGTACCGAGAAGATTCAAATCAGTTCAAGCATTAAAGGTCAGTGTAAACGATTTGCCATGTGCACACAATCTGATAAGTGGCAATTCACCGGCAGCTACATTGGTAGCTACCTAACTGATGCCTTAGTTGTAGTTTTTATTTAAATATATACATTTAAATGTTTCAGTTATACATTATTCATGTATAAATTAACGGTGCGCCACTGAAAATAGTTTAGATATGTTTTTTTTTCTTTTAAATTCCCTAGGACAACCAGTCACTGCCACACCAGTCACCAAGCAGCAAATTACGGCCGTTGATGGCTTATCTGCCAAATTCCCCACACAGCAAGGTGAAGCAAACATAACTACACCGGAAGGTATACAGAAAAATACTCCTGTACTCGCCAGGTACCTCTCACAGCCAGATGAACCAACGATGATCACGCCAGAAGATGGGCAAAATATGACAACCACTGACGGTGTTTATGTCAGGTACCTCTCTCAGCCAGATGAACCAACAATCATCACACCAGAAAATGGACAACAAATTACAACCACTGATGGTGTATCTGCCAAGTACCTCTCTCAGCCAGGTGAACCAACAATCATCACGCCAGAAGATGGGCAAAATATGACAACCACTGACGGTGTTTATGTCAGGTACCTCTCACAGCCAGATGAACCAATCATCATCACACCAGAAAATGGACAACAAATTACAACCACTGATGGTGTATCTGCCAAGTACATCTCACAGCCAGATGAACCAATCATCATCACACCAGAAGATGAGCAAAATATGACAACCACTGACGGTGTTTATGTCAGGTACCTCTCACAGCCAGATGAACCAATCATCATCACACCAGAAAATGGACAACAAATTACAACCACCGACGGTGTATCTGCCAAGTACCTCTCACAGCCAGGTGAACCAATCATCATCACGCTAGAAAATGGACAACAAATTACAACCACTGATGGTGTATCTGCCAAGTACATCTCACAGCCAGATGAACCAATCATCATCACACCAGAAGATGAGCAAAATATGACAACCACTGACGGTGTTTATGTCAGGTACCTCTCACAGCCAGATGAACCAATCATCATCACACCAGAAAATGGACAACAAATTACAACCACTGACGGTGTATCTGCCAAGTACCTCTCACAGCCAGGTGAACCAATCATCATCACGCCAGAAAATGGACAACAAATTACAACCACTGATGGTGTATCTGCCAAGTACCTCTCACAGCCAGATGAACCAACAATCATCACACCAGAAGATGAGCAAAATATGACAACCACTGACGGTGTTTATGTCAGGTACCTCTCACAGCCAGGTGAACCAATCATCATCACACCAGAAAATGGACAACAAATTACAACCACCGACGGTGTATCTGCCAAGTACCTCTCACAGCCAGATGAACCAACAATCATCACACCAGAAGATGAGCAAAATATGACAACCACTGACGGTGTTTATGTCAGGTACCTCTCACAGCCAGGTGAACCAATCATCATCACACCAGAAAATGGACAACAAATTACAGCCACCGACGGTGTATCTGCCAAGTACCTCTCACAGCCTGATGAACCAATCATCGTCACGTCAGAAGATGGACAACACAATACAACCACTGATGGGACATCTGCCAAGTACCTCTCACAGCCTGATGAACCAATCATCATCACACCAGAAAATGGACAACAAATTACAACCACCGATGGTGTATCTGCCAAGTACATCTCACAACCTGATGAACCAATCATCGTCACACCAGAAGATGGACAACAAATTACAACCACCGATGGTGTATCTGCCAAGTACCTCTCACAGCCTGATGAACCAATCATCATCACACCAGAAAATGGACAACAAATTACAACCACCGATGGTGTATCTGCCAAGTACATCTCACAGCCTGATGAACCAATCATCGTCACGTCAGAAGATGGACAACAAATTACAACCACTGACGGTGTATCTGCCAAGTACATCTCACAGCCAGATGCACCAATCATCATCACACCAGAAAATGAACAACAAATTACAACCACTGATGGTGTATCTGCCAAGTACCTCTCACAGCCAGATGCACCAATCATCATCACACCAGAAAATGAACAACAAATTACAACCACTGATGGGACATCTGCCAAGTACCTCTCACAACCTGATGAACCAATCATTGTCACGCCAGAAGATGGACAACAAATTACAACCACTGACGGTGTATCTGCCAAGTACATCTCACAGCCAGATGCACCAATCATCATCACACCAGAAAATGACAACAAATTACAACCACGATGGTGTATCTGCCAAGTACCTCTCACAGCCAGATGCACCAATCATCATCACACCAGAAAATGGACAACAAATTACAACCACTGACGGTGTATCTGCCAAGTACCTCTCACAGCCAGATGAACCAATCATTATCACACCAGAAAATGGACAACAAATTACAACCACCGATGGTGTATCTGCCAAGTACCTCTCACAGCCTGATGAAACAATCATCATCACACCAGAAAATGGACAACAAATTACAACCACCGATGGTGTATCTGCCAAGTACCTCTCACAGCCTGATGAACCAATCATCATCACGTCAGAAGATGGACAACAAAATACAACCACTGATGGGGTATCTGCCAAGTACATCTCACAGCCAGCTGAACCAACAGTAATCACACCAGAGGATGGACAACAAATGACAACCACTGAAGGGACACCAGCCAGTGCCAGACCCAGTCATAAACAGAAGGGAGTTAGATATTGCATATGTGTATAGCTAAGTCATAAACAATCGCATACCATATTTATTTAAATTTAAAAAGGGTGGAAGTTTATATGTCATGTTCATGTATGCCATCACGATACCAACACAAATTGAGTCACCATACAATGTTTCGAGATACAAAAGTAGGAAATGTCGGAAATGGACAAAATTGGCATTTGGCAGTGGTTTCTATTGTGAGAATATTTCTTCATGTCCAAAAATATTGCTCCGTGACATGGTATCAAATCATACATTATTATTGACATAAATATCTCCCATAATACGTTGCGTAAATGTGTAGTAACATTCTCAGTGGTTCAAAATTCAGCTCTAACTGCCTTGACGTGAAAAACTTTATTTAGTTTTCAATAGAACGTGTTTTTTTATGAAAACCTTCGACTAAACGTTTAAACACAGTTGATAAGAATGTTTAGCAGTTCGGTTTAAAAGTTTTTAACGTGGGAGCGTGCGGGGACAGCAATATTGTAATGTTTATAAATAAGCGTGAGTTTTTGTGGTTTCAGCATACGTTGTTACCAATTCTCGCTGTGCATGTGGGGACGACCATAGCGTGTTGTTGTTTACGAATAATATCCATAAATCTTTTTGTGTTTTTACCAAAAGGGCATTACAACCAAGTTAGAGTACATAGAAATATTTTTTTTTTGTAAATAAATCAGTACAATAAGTATGACCAAAGTTTGCATATTCGCTGACTTTAGATAAATACGCACACCTGTCTGTTTGTTTGTCTGTTTATTTATTAATGTATCATTACATGCCATGTAAATTAAGTAATAAATACATTTGTGTAAATTTACATTCCATATAATTAGTTATGTCTTTTTATAAATGCTTTTTTGAATATAGGTTGCTAGCTCGAATGGAAGTGAACATCACTAATATTTCCAGTCTCCTGATCAAAACCATTACATATATCGAAGTAAAGTGTGAAATGGAATGGAAATGCATTTTATTCTCGATAATCTACACAGAAATCACATGTGCTTTCCTCAATAGCTAAGTTGAAGAATCTGAAGCTTCAATTTTTAAAGGAAGAATACTAACTCTAAACTGATAATAAAAACCTTTTTGACCTTGACAAATTTGAATTGATATTTAACATTTATTATTATTTAATTTTTAACTATTTCATCTGTCTTATCACAATTTAAACTGATGATCAGTAGACATTTCTCACGTACACCACTTAATTACCTATATGTTGTTTAATTATGAGATTTCATTCACATCCTGTCACTGTGAATTCCCTTGTCACGCAGAATACATCAATGTCATTGCATGCTAGTTTTAAATTTATTTTGTTATTTACAAATAAATAATTTAGTAAGAAATGTAAATGCCTGGGGATGTTTACTTTAAACAAAATTGAATTCTAAATGTTTCAACATTTGAATGACCTTTGACCAGTATTGCTATGATAACATGTTGATAACGCATGATTGTTTGTGATGCGATTAGTGTGTGGTTAACAACCAGATTACATTATGGCAACACCTCAAACAACAAGAAGTATCCCTAGAAGTGGACTGCATGGCGTGGCTGCTTAGTGTTTATGTTTAGTAAGCATACAGTTTATATCATTGGTGAATGAACTTTAAAAACATAATATATTTGAATGATATATCATTCAATCAATGACGTACAAATGCACCGAAATCTGACCTCAGGAGGGTGTCGTTGTGACGATACCAGGAATCCGACTGGACCAAATACAAATTTATTAACTCATTGCTAGTATATCTAAAATATATCAGCGGCAATTATCGATCTTGGCTTGTCTGAGAAAACTTAAATTCCAAAATTCTTTATTCTCTCTGCATATCTGTTAATGATTCATAAATCGCATAAACATTGCATCATGGTTATTCCTGTGTTGACATGCATTACATATTTAACCATATTCTATTATTAACTTCATATTTGTTTCAGGTGTTATCAATCCGTTTGAGACTTTTCAGGTGTTATCAATCCGTTTGAGACTCAATGAAGGTCATTATTGATTTGCTTATTTGGCAATTCCCGATTTTTATTATCAAGGACCGGCTCGTCGCATTTTTTAATGTTATGCAAAACTCCAATATATTATGAATATCGTGTCTATTGCACGTGAAGATTATTGGAACATTACTCAACACTACATCGTACTGAGTTGAAACTGTTAGGTAAGATGATGACAGATGAGAGTTATCGAGATGAACGTTTAGACTCAGTTGTGTCGTCCGTGTTCATACAGCCGACGATTAATTTCAAGGCTAAACACGTTAGAGACCTTGGTATTCTACTGTGCATTATAGGCGTCTGTAATATTATACTTGGATTTACTGCTATATTTATTGGTTGTTTCATGGCATTTATATGTACACCTATATGGTCTGGAATTGTGGTAAGTAACAGTATTTTCTTATATTTTATTTGTAAAAATAAATCATAATTTTACGTACGGGAGAATAACTATGAAATAGTGCCACATACAGGTCATAAAAAATGATGCATATTCATAACTTTTCTCTAATTCTAGAAAATAATCATACAGGTCATAAAAAAATGATGCATATTCATAACTTTTCTCTAACTCTAGAAAATAATCATACAGGTCATAAAGAAATGATGTATATTCATAACTTTTCTCTAATTCTAGATAATAATCGGAGGAGTGTTCGCCATCCGATCAGAGCTTGTTAGAAGAAGCAACAGAGTAAGTGAGAGAGTAGTAGTCTGGCGTGCTTAATTGTATCCACAATTATGATTTACAGTGAATTCACTCGACATATACATTAATTTTAATTTAATTTTTATTTCTGGATATCAGCTCCTATGATGTTTTAATTCAACAGCTCACAGTCGATAATATTCCTCAAATAATGTCTCTAGGTGTGGTATGCTATGGTATCGTCGACGATTGTTTGTATGTGTGCTCTGTTAACGATCATCCACGCATCGATAGCACTGTCCTTTGAAAAATCGGAATGCTGGGTATTTTATTGTAATTGCATCGATTTATGTCATGTGAGCGAAGATGTAAGTAATATATAAGCTCTTCCACAATTCTGTACATATACGCACGTCTATAACAACCTAGAATTCTTTACCCCTCAAAAACAAACCCCGTCGCCACCGAACAAAAACAAACCCAGCCTTCACCATGCAAAAACAAAACAAAACAGCCATGACCACACAAAAACAAATCCAGCCTTCGCCATCCCAAAACAAACCCAGCCTTCATCATCCCAAAACAAACCCAGCCTTCACCACACATAAAAACAAACCCACCTGCCACCACGCAAAAACTAACCTTGATTTCACCACACAAAAACAAAAACAAACCCAGCTGCCACAACCAAACACTAACCTAGTTTTTACAACGCAAATACAAAGCAGCATTCATCATATAAAACAAATTAGCATTTATCGTCTGAAACAAACCAGACTTTACAATCCCAAAAGCAGAGTACTTTTAAAAAGATCATATCACTTATCGCAACGTTTATTTTGAAAAAGTATCGTGTTAAAAATATATGTTTATTTTGTAAAAGTAACCACCCGAAAAAACATGCCTTTATCACTCAATACAAACTAGTCTTCACTGTCAAATTACGTAATCAAAAGCTTAATTTGATCACAATATAGCACAATACTTAATAGTATATCTATTTCACAGATTCGACTATTCGTGGATGCTGTCATATTAGTTCTTTCATTCTTTGCATCTGTCTTTGCATTTGTGGTAGCAAACCTGTGTGGTTTATTTGGCAATGTATGTCAAACGCATTCACCCATATCGGTAGGTTCTCCTCCTTGTTACGTCACTCGAATCTTCATTACCACTACCAGCTGCAACTATGAAGCAAATCTGTACGCGGCAGTTGAGTTTTTATTTATAACATATGATGTAATGTAAAACGCAAAATAGACATTCAGTTCAAAGTAACATTTGGGAAGCTGCGTGTAATTATAATAATCAATCAGCATGGTGTTTCATTCTTGTTCGTCTCGACAGCCTATAAATACACCTAGAGTGTTATCAAGTGTACATGTGCCGAATAATGAAGTTATGGTGCACTCCATTGAAGAGAGGAATTACAGACTAAATAAAGAGCTCCCTCATGAGTAGTTCACAAATTTGAAAAGACGGAAAATATACACGCTTTGGGTGATCCATGGAACAAATATGAATGTGACACCCCGGCGATTTGGGCCATTACTTATGAATACGGAGATTCATACTTGGCAAATACTAGTATATGTAATACATTTGTATACGTGTTTACTTGTTGTACTACACAAATTACTGTAAGGTATTTTAATACGTCTATAAAAAGATGAAATGTCAGAATTTCAGATTTACAAATAAATTTATATTATTAGGATTTTGCGTTTGAAAGGAAATTTGTTTATTTATTTTTCTTGCTTTAAATTGGTGTCTCTCTTGTTCAACAGTCTGTTAACCTTCGATAGCGTGAAGTTTTCGTTCAGCATTTACTAGAAAAGTACCCTTTTGTCATTCAAAACAGTACTTATTTACTAGTTTTTCGTTTACTAAAAATATACTTTTTCAAAAAGAGCTTGTTCTCACATGATCCAAGTGGGGAGTACAATGTTTATCTCAGCATTTAAACAAGGGAACATTTTGAGCAGCAACATCCTGCACTGGCGGGTCCAGAAATTCGGTAGGGGGCGCTCCTATTGCCGTGGCTACGTCCGCACACCACCGGTGGGCTGGGTTTGTCAATTTATTTGTCATTGTTTTCGCGGGCTTTGTTAATATGAGTCCCATTTCTCGCGCATGCGTGGCACGATGACCACCGCCCTTTATCAGTGAAAGAGTAAGTAATCTGTCTTGCAGTCACGTCATAAATTGGGCATTGTTTTAAAAAATACGATACAGTTAAACTTCACAAGAATTGTTCCTTGTAAAAAACACTGCTTAAACAATTAAAAGTATATTAACCATAGAAGCAATTTGGTAGAATTTTCCTCGTCAGACGTTTACGATGAAATTTGAGATTTTGGTGAGATTCTCTTCGACTGTCGACAGTCGTCTCGCCTACGGAATGTTCGCTTCTGTGTGAACGCCGTTAGCGCTGTTTGAGTACCGAGGGTACAAAAAGGGGTAGCCGTGGGCACGATAGTTGCGTTCGTACGCATTTCATACTCGCGTTTTATACCCTCGGTATTGAACAGTGCTTAGTTACGACGCTCACACAGAAACGAGCATTCCGTAGGCAAGAAGATTGTCGACAGTCTAGATTAATAGCTCGTAACTAAATGTACTGTTTTGCATTGTGTTTGGGGGGGGGGGGGGTCGTTGTTGATTGGGGCATACGACCTACAATATGTAATTCAACTGCTCAGTCGGAAAAAGGTCATATAAACTGTTACTAATTTTCCAAAGAAAATGAAGAAATGATTCGATCTCCAGTTCCCCCAGTTTCTAATGGTCATCTCTTGATAATTAGTTGTGGGTCATTTAATAATTCAGCATGTTTGATAGTTGCTTTATTTGTGTTCCACTCCAAACAACAATAAATAAACAGTTCAAATCGATATCTGCTTATATGATATTATTATTTATGGATATTGAGCGGTATTTTGTCCACAAGTAATCGGAACAAACGTATAGTAGTGAATTAACAAACCACCACATATGAGGTCAACTTAAAGGGCACGACCCAGTAATGTTTAAATAATACGGAAGTGTGCAACTAAGACACTTTCTTGGTATTTCAATGATTCGAAATGATGAAACATGTTGTAATGTGTGGAATAGGACGGAGCCAGTTAAATGTTGGCTCGCATCTAACATTGACATATCGTGGAACGACGCTTGTTCCAGCTAAGACATTCTCCCATCACTATCATTGGCTCTCGACGTCGCCCCGGCACGGCACGACTGAACGGGACACCAAAGAATCGGTCCAGGCGCGTCCATTCGGTGAAATCCCAGGACCTCCGACGGGATGGCGGCAACAAATTAAGGATATATATAAGCTTTTTAAAACTGGTTTTTCAAATTCGAAATTTGTGTTTTTAAAGGATTTTCTAGATACTTACGGCCCTATTGCCGTCTCTTCAAAACAGATCAACACAGTTTTTCTTTTCGACGCCCATGACTTTGCCCAAGTTCATCGAGAAGAAGGAAAATATCCAAAACGTATGGAAGCACTTTTAATGCGAGCACACAGAGAATTTAAAGAAATACCATATGGGGTATTTTCAAGGTAAGGGGCTCCCCATTTCAAAAAATGAGGTGGGTGGAGGAAAAACAATTGTCATTTGTTATGCTAAACGAAAATGTATAACAAATGACACGACATCATTTGAACTAATTATGAAATATGTTAATACAAAAATTATTGTCAGGCATACGTGAATAAAATATTTGCAAATTCCACCACATCAGATTTCAAATTGATGACCCCTAATACTAATTTTGTATTTGAAAAATATTTGATTGACATTAGGGTGCTACGATATGACTATATTAAAGTTAAAGCGCGGCAGTCGTCGCGCTGCGCATGTGCGACATTTGTGTTGATAAACATTGATTTTACCACAATCCCATGCGCTCTTTTAATGGAAATCACAAGTATGAGGTTTTACGTGGGCGCGACTTGCACTACTTACCACCGGTGACTCCTTCGATACCTTCCAACCACCTAAAAATATTTAATTAAAGTTTCGTAACGTCTCAGTTTGTACTCGTTGAACTGCGCAACAGTCAAAATCGCCATCATTGGTCTCATATCCATATATCTCGCGCATGCGTGGCGCGACGACTACCGCCCTTTAATTAAGCACATTACTAATTTCATTATTGCCAAAACCTGGTGTTTTCCCTCTCTAGTGATGGTCCTGAATGGAGACGTTATCGAAGCGCTCTCAGTAAGTACATACTAAGGCCAAAAGAAGTCGTTAAATATACCGACCGGCTATCAGACACTGCTGAAGACCTAGTGAGTAGAATACAAATCTTGAGGAAGGGCAATGGAACGGTAAAGGATTTGGAAAAACTATTACAATATTGGGCGTTTGAAGGTGAATATAATCATTCGAAACATTCTTAGATATCGAGCTTTTGTAGCTATTATTTGCAGCATATGTGGGATATAAACTCCCTTTAATAACGAATCTGAATTAATGTAAACCACTCTTCCCAGTGCAGCACGTGCCCTTGCTAGTATTTGTAACGCGGTATTCTATATATTTTAGGTGGTGCATCTGTAATATTCGGCAAACGCTTCAATCTGTTATCCGATAACCCTGACCATGATGCTGCCCTCTTCAACAAAGCACTCAAGTCTCTAACGTTGCCCTCAGTAGTAATGTATGATGCTAAATCAATCAAAGTAAACAAGGACGGAAATACGTTTTTCTGGAAGAAATTCGTCAAAAATTGGGACCAATTATTCGATATCAGTGAGTAACATATTTGTATATCGAGACCTTGGGTCTGTGCGTTTTTTTTTCGGTGTTGAACCATTAAACGTTGTTGGCTGGGTTGCATATGTTAGAAAAAGCTTGACACATTTTCAACACTTGTTATATATTTCGCTTGCCTATATGAGCGCTTGAGTTTTATCAATGCACGGCTTACTGCTACGATATATAATGCTGATTCAGACTGCAATTTTAAAAGCAGTGTTTCATGTTTTCCATTGAATGGTTCGGTTAATAGTGTGTTGAATCCAGGAAATAGTCATTGATGGGTGCAACTATTGCATCTATCTATTTATAAGTTTAGCAATTCTCTCCACGTCACGTATTCTAAATCCATTTGGACACAGATTCTCTGCAGATTATTTTAAGATACATTTACGAACAAGCAATCCAACCAGCAGTTACACAGTTACACAGCTTACATCACTATAATGATATATTAAATCGATAATTTACATTTTAAAGCCGGAAAATGCTTGTATGAAAAGAACTTTGAACTTAAAAGCAGACAAGCACAGCTGTCGAATTGTCCGGAGTCAGGCTTGGATTATCTGACTAATCTTATTACTGAAGGAAAACTATCAGAGAAAGAATTGCATACGAATTTGACAGAAGTCTTCCTTGCTGCTACTGACACGGTTAGTGCATTACATGCACTTATCTTTACACACACATTCGCTTATAAATGTATAGGGTGTATAAATGGCCACCAGTCGAGTCATTGATAAAGTTTGAACTTTCCAAATACATGTGTGTATTTCCCTAGCCAATATTAGTTTATGCACTAGCGTGTGTAATTTATATTCAGGCAAAATCAGCACTAACATGGGTTCTGTATGTACTCGGAAGAAATCCACGTGTACAAGAAAAACTGTACCGAGAAGTGATGTTATATGCACCATTTGGCCAACCAATTACTGAACGTACTATGAGTGAACATCGCTGGAATTATATCAAGGCTGTTTTGAAGGAATCTTTGAGGTATGTTTAACTTTTTAATGAATAACACTAATGCGTAATCCACTGTACTATTTGCCGGTCGATGGTGTTGCTTGACAACTTGATATATTAATGTTACAATCATTATTCTCAATATAATTCATATTATGTTTCGCAATGCAGATTATATCCACCTGCAATTGGAAACCTTCGAATATTAGATCATGATATTGTATTACGGGGTTACAATATTCCCGCAGGGGTAAGTATGATCGATTGGTCAGTAGCCATGCATCATAACATGTACATCCGATAGAATGATGTGTAATTGTGGTATAGAGTAATCAGCTTACAAGAAGGTTGGATGAAACAGTGTCATGTTCGATATCAGATGAGTTAAATTACACGTTCTTTACACGTATTAGGTTGTTGTAATGTTTTTAAGACACATAATTTGCTTAATTGTACAGTTTAGTTGGTCTTATTGAATAATTATATTTCGTAAATAGACAGTGTGCATAATTTATAAAAGTCTTCTTAGTTATTTTATGAAATATCGTGCATGGCGCACTATTGTGTAGTTAATAATTGATAATAATAATAGTATACTCATTTTACAGACCATACTGGTGGGTATGACATATTACATGTCAAGAGACCCGAAAAACTTTTACAATGAATTAGATTTTATTCCTGAACGGTGGAACCGTAAAGGTTTTGAGCGGTTCGATGGATTCAAGTCAATGCCTTTTGGCTTTGGTGCACGTATGTGTTTAGGTATGTGTTATCTGTATGTGTTGCGTACATTTGGACACAGCTCACCAACTAATTACTTTTGCTGTGGCGATCATTTCTTAATTGTATTTTCGTGAATTAAAGTTTTATTTTCATCAAGCAAGTTCATTAGTTCTTCCTTCTACATTAAAAAAATACGACACATATAGTAAATTCAAATAATTCATACCACTAAATGCTTTTTATTGGCATTTCATGTTTGCTTAGATTGAGAACACAAATGTCTCTAGTGTAACAACACACCTGTGACTTGTGAGTTGATCGGTTGGATATGTGTCTAATACCCAAGTGCAACGTACAAGGAGACATGAGAACAAATCATTAGTACCACACGTGATATTTCAATATTTTGTTTCAGTAATTTGTGTTTATTGATTTGTGCCAGTTGCAAATATATTTCTACAGATAATCATTTGATGAGGTTGAATAAACAATATGCGTGCAGTCGTGTAATTTCGATGAAATTTCTCATGGTTTGCCGCATGTTTGATTGATGTATTTTATTCTAGCACTAGTCTGCCTTCTCGAGCACTGTTCTATGCATTGCTATTACTGACATTTAATATTCACAGGTCGCCGAGTAGCAGAATTGGAAATATACGTGGCTTTAATTAAAGTAAGTCTTGACGTTGTTGACTATACATAAATGTTCACCCCTTATGATGGTAATCACTTTTGAAGGTTTTAGTGAAAAGATTGGATTATTTGTGTAATCTAAATATATACATCTAGCATATGTTATAAAGATCGGATCGTCTCAATCCATGTGTGTATTTATATTTTGAATAACCATTATCACGTGACCTAATTACTGTGGTTTTAAAAGAGATATATACTTGATAAATGACAAATTATGAATTACTATATAAATGTTTCACTCGTAGTATTTATGTTATGAAGACATAAACTAAACTCACAAGTTCTTCTCTCCCTGATTTTCCTATACCATGCTTGTTGTAAACCGTTTGTCCAATAGTTAGTAATGTAAAAATTGTCTTTCTAATTATTATAATAGTACTTGTATTTTGTGTTTTCAGATTCTCAGGGAATTCAAATTAGAGTGCGCCCAAGAACTACATCCGGGTTTCAAATTCGGCCAGCAAATAATGATGCCTAACAAGCCGCTAAAATTACAATTTGTTCAGCGATAACAAGGTAGTTTTCTGAACAGAGTGCTACCGGAAAGGTGCTAGGGGGAATTCTGAAATTATGTCTTAGGTTATTTAAGTCTGTTCGAAAAAGAAAATGAATTCTACATACTTGACCATACTTGTGATTTTTTTATGTAAATTATGTTTATATCTATTATTAATATATTTCAATAAACTGATGTCAATATATCTGTAAAAATATGTTTTGTCAATATGTATTTCTTGAATTTAATGTGACAGAGGATATTGACTGTTTTACTTAAGTTTTCATTTGTTAATATATTGTGGGCGATATACCAGACATAATATTAAAATAATATACAAACACTGAAATTCACAAACACTCTAATATTGGTCTTACGGTGACTACATGTGCCAGGGTAAATTAAATTCTGAAAAACATGAATATTCTGACCTTGCTCTAGCCTGTAACGGCCCTCCCGACAGCAAAACCACACACAACCTGTTTTAATTGTAAACGCATATTCAGTTATTACATTATTATAATATATGAGCGAATTTTATTTGACAATGAGGATAAAATAAACTGATTATCTTCTAACCGCGCCACCAGCGGTAGTCTTTAGTTCGAATATTGATATGGATAATACGACTGAATAAATAACGAATACATAAAACATTAACATAAATGTCAGGGTGTTGTCATACTCGTGTCAAAGTAAGGTCTCCGAGAATACCGTTATGTAAAGTCATTCAAGTGTTTCTTTAATGAGAAATGTCTACAATATTTTAGCCTTATTTCTCAATTAAACGGATCTTTTCCTGCGTTTGTTGCCAAGGTGAGTGCTCTGTATTTATTAAGAATCTCTAAGATATTTACTTCCAACAGATAAATTGATATACTATCTACAGTTGCAAACACAGTTCATGGTCGGTCACTGGCCAGCTAGCAACCTGTTAATTTGGCGAACCTTACTCAAAGACTGCACTATTAGTTGGTATGATATCAAATTATTACGTGTATATATGGTTTATTGAAATGCATTTATCTAGTGTGTATTATTTGAGCAAGAGTTTAGTGTTATGTAAATAACATTTTGTAATCGTGCTACGACAACTAAGATGGTATTAGTGGTACTACAAAATGTTTATGTCATAGGGGTATACACTATTTTAATTTGTATTATGTGGCTGTGTAAAAAATGTATTTGGAGGAATTGTATATAGGTTTTTTCATTAACTGACTTTAGTAATAAATCCCTGAATGCCTGTCTCATCTCTCATTACATCCTCATATTTTCCCCATCGTAGGTACTAACTACATTGAAACAGGTGACATTATAACGTCATATTTATTTTGATTATATATAAACAGTGGTGTGACATGGCAGTGCCAGTAACAATGTATACATAACTACTAAATCTGTGTCAACTTGATAACCTCTGCTGGATGTCATTTGTCAGTTTGTCCCTTCAGTTATTTAATTCAGAGTCCACAGGCCTATTTATAAAGAAAAAAAACGTACATTATAAGTATACATATAATTTTTAAAATCGGATTAATGTTGAATGTATTTGCCAATATTACAGTTGACACGTGGGAAGATGGCCGATCAGAGTGATACCGTACCACCGAGAGTATCCAGGCTTTCGGTTACAAGGCAATATTTCAAACACAAAACTGTATTTTATCTAAGTATAGTCGAGATATTTCTTGGAGTTGCTAGCATTGCATTTGGTTTGACCGCAATATTTGTGGGATGTTACGCATCTTTCGTTGGCACCGCAATCTGGAGCGGCACAATTGTAAGTTATTGTACGAGTCGGCACCGCCTTTAAAGCGTGAATCTGGTTAAACAAAGTATGTATTTTGTTGACTTTAGTTTAATGACCAGATACACATCAGAATTGACTATTTCTATCAAGGCCGTATGCTAATAATAGAGTTATGTGTCGTATAATATTCGACAACAAACCTTGGATGTAAATGGCCGCCGAGATCTAGTTGTTAGCGAGAGAATCGCAAGACTTGGTGTTAGCCCCCAAGTAGTGCACAATTCCCTCTCGACATCGCGTCTACTATCATCTAAGTAACCATGTTAATTAATTGAAACAGTTTACGTGATGACGGATGAGGATAGAACACAATTTGAGGGACGAAGACAATTCTCACGATAAAACATCTACTCTGGTAATGCCTTTTTGTAATCAATGTACATAGTTTTATTCACTACTATTCACACATGTTCTTTGTGGTGGTTGTGAAATATGTTTTACGTCAGACTACAGAAGTGAAATAATACATTGCACCGCGATATTTCTCAGCCAAGAAGTTTTATAATATGTTCATAATGTTTCCAATAGTTATGCCATCCAAAATAGAACAATACACGTTTGTTTGTTTGCAGTTTGTTTCATGTGGAATACTGGGCATCTTAGCTGCAGTGATAAAAAATAATGGCACGGTATGTATGATGTTTGAACTTTGAATAAGACCAACAATATTTACCATCTAGATGGAAACATTGCTGTAAATACATATCACATATCAAAACGTGTAATGTAAACAATAACTTGCCTTTTATGCAGCTAATCAGTGCTATGGTCATGGCTATTATATCTACCAGTGTGGCAGTAGCACCCATCATCCACGCAAGCTATTCCATGGCAAATGAACAAGAAGACACGTGTTACGATTATGAATGTAACTGTTATGACTGGTGTCATACTACCATCAGTGTAAGTAACGATTACGAGTGTAACTGTTGTGACTGGTGTAATACTACCATCAGTGTAAGTAACGATTACGAGTGTAACTGTTGACTGGTGTAATACTACCATCAGTGTAAGTAACGATTACGAGTGTAACTGTTGTAACTGGTGCCATACTACCATCAGTGTAGGTAACGATTATGAATGTAACTGTTATGACTGGTGTCATACTACCATCAGTGTAAGTAACGATTACGAATGTAACTGTTATGACTGGTGTCATACTACCATCAGTGTAAGTAACGATTACGAGTGTAACTGTTATGACTGGTGTCATACTACCATCAGTGTAAGTAACGATTACGAGTGTAACTGTTGTGACTGGTTTAATACTACCATCAGTGTAAGTAACGATTACGAGTGTAACTGTTGACTGGTGTAATACTACCATCAGTGTAAGTAATGATTACGAGTGTAACTCTTGTGACTGGTGTAATACTGCCATCAGTGTGAGTAACGATTACGAGTGTAACTGTTGTGACTGGTGCCATACTACCATCAGTGTAAGTAACGATTACGAGTGTAACTGTTGTGACTGGTGTAATACTACC